CTTGCAGTTGCTATGATAGAAGAATGCTTTCTGTCCTTTCTTCATTTGATCACGCATGAAATTACGTGCTTGATAATTTCTCACACCATCCCAGCACGCAGTCTGATTCTTTTCACTTTTAAGATCTTCAATACCAAACTATCAAGATTATCATTATAATCAAAGAATTAAAAATTTAAAACAAATGCACATATTTTGTTACTATTGTCGTATTGACTTTCACTCAAATAAATAAGTAAAACAATTATATATTTAATGTAATATACAGTGATAACCAAATACCAACCTTCACATCAATGCCATTTTGTATCCGGGATTCTGGTTCAGATTTCATAAGCCACCTTGTGTAATGTGGTTTATCCACATTTTTTACTTTTTTTTCAGTCAGTTTTCTTTGCTTCCTGCTACTTGGACCATCAACGCTTGTTGCCGTCTCTTTTGTTTTGCTATCATTGGCTGACAAAGTGTGCTTGGCTGCAGAGAAGAAATCATTAATACTTTTTTACAATCATCATTAAAATATTGCCATTATTACCAGTCATTCCCACCACCAGAATCATCAACATTATTACTCCATTTTCAGCACTGCACTTTTGCAGCTCATCAGTCACTACAACCATCCAGTACCACCAGTTACTATCCCAAACTGCAGCCCTGCAGTCACCAGCAGTACCATCACCAATATTCCATTATCACCAATGCAGACCCAGAGATTCTAAGGCCTAGTTCAGACTGGTGGATAAACCCGGCTCAAATCACCGGGTACGTTTCGCGAGCAATGTTTTTAAACACATTTCCTGGTTACGGTTCATTATTATGCAAATTCTCGCCTGGCTAAACCCGCTAGTCGGAACGTCCGGCAGGGTTAAGCCGGGCTTAACTCAAGAATAGCTTATCTCCAAGTCTGAACGTAGCCCAAGTTAAACGAAATTGCAGGTGTGAGACTTTTGTTTTGAAAACTGTCAGTGCGGGACAATATCAGGGTGGAACCACTTTACGCGTAAATTCAAATAATGTGGACTCTGTTTCTTAAAATTTGACCCACTTTATGCAAAAATCTGAAGCCATTTTCTTAAAATTTTACCAATTTTAGGCTAAATACTGTATGAGAAATCTGGACC